AGTGAGACAGTGAGTGAGTGAGGCAGTGAGAGAGTAAGAATGAGACAGTGAGAGAGTGAGGCAGTGAGAGAGTAAGAATGAGACAGTGAGAGAGTGAGGCCGTAATCTCTTCTTTGTGTTATGAGTTAGGCTGTAAAGATGATTGATGTGTTTCTAACATTCTACTCCTAGTGATCATTAGGTGGCACTGAGTCGGTCCTGATTCTTGGACGTCTCATGCACAGCAAAGGAAACCCTCCCTGGTCCTAAGCCGTCCTCACAACTATTGTTGTGTTTGAGCGGCCACTGTGTCAGTCCATCTCCGGAGGCCAGGCGCTTTCCACCGGCCCTCCATTTATGATTAGAGTGACACAATGACCAAGCTTCTGAACCCTATTTAGTTTAACTCTCAAATGAAACCAGATTTCTGAAGGATTCTGTGATTCTGTTTTATTAAGGTTTAATCTGTCAGAATCTTTGGCATTGTTATAAAGTCAAAATTCGCCAATGTCTCATTTCCTTTTTCCCATAGAGGTGTCCCTGCAGACATTCAAATAGATATCGACGAAGACAGAGAAACAGAAAAAATGTACTCCCTTTTTACCCTCAGTATACATAAGCTGCAGAAAATGGAAGGTAAATCTACATAACCATGGTCCTCCATTAGCAATACCTGAAGTGTTAACCTGCCGTTATCATGGTATCACGGATTTATTGGGGCTAAATGTTACTTATGTGAAAGTTGGCAACTTTCCCAGAGGAAGCATTTTTCATATATACTCATGAAGTAAAATACAAATATGATACTCCTAATTAATAAATTTTATGTGTTTTGGTTTATCTCTCCATTGTTAAGGGAAATCTTAGCTTGGGACACTTAAAAAAGGTTTTATTTATAATATAAATTATGTTTATGGAACTTAGTTGCCTGATCAGAGATTTTGTTGCTCTTTGTAGAGGCTTGTGGAACTATAGCAGTCTATCAGGGACCGCAGAAGGAGCCTGACGATTATTCTAACTTTGTAATCGAGGATTCTGTAACAACCTTTAAGACAATTCAGCAAATAAAAAGCATCATAGAGAAGTTGAATGAACCTCATGAGAAATACAGGAAGAAAAGATCAATTAGTGCAAAATATGGGAGCAAGTAAGTATTTTTAAGGACACCTTAATCACATTTTTTTTTTTTTTTTTTTTTTTCCTTAATCACATTTTTAAGCATATTTTAGGGGCTCTCCGCTCTCCTGTGCTCACAGTGGGAATGCCTGACTCTTGAGCATGCTTTCTTCATTCAAGACTGAGCTCCTGGGGACTCACTGCCATGCTGAGCCTCAAAGGGGCCTGTGTCTTTTCTAGTTCTGGTATCATTTCGTTGTGTAGGGTTCACTTCACCACTTTAATGTTATATCCCGATTTAGTTCATTCTTTGGTTACTTAGGTAGCTTTTTGTTGATGTCAGTCCTCATCTTTCTGGGTGCCTTATGCAGTGTTAGTGCTGCTGTTGTCAGCCGTCATGCGGTCAGTTCCAACTCGTGCCACAGTAAGTAGTTCATGTGTTTGGACCCTTCACAGATGTCACAGGTGTAAGTGGATAGCAACCCTGAACATTAGGACCTGACTGCATCACTGGGCAGTATTCCGAGTCCTTCATATCTGCATATATTAGATTGCTTTTGGCAACAAGTCTCAGAAAGCCCCAACAGAAGTGGCAGGTCCTACAGAAACCAATTATACAAATGCAAATATATGTGTTCACCCAAGGTAGAAGGGCTCAGTACATAAGAAAGGTTGTTATAAGCATCCGAACTCTTTCATCTTTATATTCATCTCGTTGTTTCTCTTTCAACTATAGTAATCTAGTTTTTTTCAAGCCCTGCAAAGTGTCCGTATGAGATCAGAGGCCCACCCTGCTTAAATGGCAACCTTGCTCCCTGGACACATACACAAACTTGCCCACCCTGCCTCTTCCTGGCTTTATTTTCTGTATTGAAAAATTCCACCTCTGATAAATGAGATATTTGTTTATTTTATATCTCTTCTACCAAAATGTAAGTTCCTTTGGAACCCTTTGCCTCTTGAAGTGCTGCCTAGCATTAAACATTCACTGAGTTAGTGACTCAAGACTCAACGTGAGATTATCAAGGAAACGTTAGACACTCTTAATGGATCTCAGATTTGTCAGTTGTTAAACTTGACTATTTTTCTTTAGCTTTTGAAAAATGATTTTCTTTCATTGTTTTCTAGGGAAAATCCAATTGTTGGGAAAGCATCTTAAGAGCTTGACTACCTGATTCAGAAGAACTGGAAAATACATGGACATTGGCTTTTATGTTACCTATGTTCACATTGTATTTAATATTTAATAATTGAGATTAACTGTTTGGGAATCCTAGTATTAATGTTTTACTAGTGGATTTGAAACCCAAGGTCCTCTTCCTATCGTATGTGTCCAAAGCCATGTTTCTGCAACTTCTTTTTAATAGAAAGAATCTTCCGAAAGAAGATTTCACCGAAGTTTTGTAACAAAGGGAGAACTCTTCTGTAGCAAGAAGCCATCTCTTCTTGTAACACTCGTTCATGTGTGTGGACTTGTTCTCACAACCGTTGGTGCCTGTTCTACACTGCCAACAGTGTTTTCCTGGACGGTCCTGTCTGGACAACTTGGAGCTTTCCTTTCATCCCACTGGGACAAAGGGAAAAAAAAAGTTTTCCTTAGGACCATTAATCATTACAGGTTACATTTGGGACAGCAACAGAAACTTTTAAAAACTTCTAGAGCATCCTTGAAATTTGGTAAATGCTCTTGCCTCTTTACTGATGTAAACAGGACTTGGGTAGGGAATTAGGGAATTTGCTGTTGTGGCCTCTTGTTTACATTTGGAATGCGTGAGGGCAGACAGATAGAAGGACACCACTTGCATTCCTCTCCATCCTTTTGACGATCAGGTACTTGTGTTCTTAATTTGAGGGTTGAGGTTAACAGGACTTCCAAAGAAAAGAAAGTTATCCATGAGCCAGAGCTGCCCTCCCACTACCACGGGCGGCTGACCTCTGGGTGCCTTCCTCAGAGTGTCAGGCTGAGTCCTCACTCGAGAACAGTCACTTCTCGCACTTTAGTAATCTGGACTGCCCCAGGTTATACTGTAGATACTCCGTGGTATCTAATCTTTATGATCAGTTGAATGATCAGTGTTGAACTATATAAATAATGCTTTCCCGAAAATGTTTATATTTCATGGCTCTTTCCTTGCTGCCTGCCAGCCAGATGGAATTTGGGGGAGCACCTATTTTCCCTAATAACTTCCTTTTGTCCTAAAGACCATCGCTGTAAACAAGCAGTCTGGCGAGCTGCGACCTTGATGTTAAGGAGGGATTCACTTTGTTTCATCAGTATTAAAAACCATGGTACTCGTGTCTTTTTTAGTTCCAAACAACGTTTTCTAATTGTGGTACTTTGTTCTGGAGTATTTATACGTGTTTCTGTTTAAAACTGTGATTTAGTAATATAAGTCTGGTTATTCATGCTTTAGTTGTTTCCCTGAGCATAAGCTATATTTCAAGATATATTTTGGCAAATATGTGGATGATTATTGTTAAATTATATTGTTATTAGGTAATGACTTTAAAGACTATTTGACGTACAATCAGAATAGTTCCACACATGATTGTAATTGAGTGATGCAGTTCTTTTTATGACTTGTAAAAATCAGTTGGCTTTACTTAAGAATCATTACTAGTCTGCATTGTGGCCAGTTACTACGCCTGGCACGTTTTAAAGACAAATTTTATGAGTTTGTAGATTACATAAACGGCATTGATTAATAAATCAATTTAAATGATGGAGTAATTTAACCACTTAATAAATTTCTCCATCTTGGAGTTTCATTGAGATGAAAATTCCTTGTAAAAATCTCTGAGCTGTCTGTCTAAAAAGGGCATGAGCATCACCAGGGCTTCTCATTACTTTCCAGTGACTCTTTTTCTTCTGTATTTTTTAAAAAGTCAAAATAAATAATCTAATATTTCTCATATATAATCCCCAATTATGATTCAATATCATGGCATTATCAAAGGGACCAGGGCAGTGTGTATAGCTAACTCTGGATTTGAAGGGAAGAACCCCGTCGCACGGTTACTTTTTTCCTTCGACACATTTAACCAGGTGGACTAGAATTAACCAGGTTAGCACAGTCTAAGAGTAGTGATAAGAAATGAAATCATAGTGATAAGAAATGAAATCATTTGTTCTCTGAAAGTCATCCAACATGAGAGCGGTCTTCCCTCTTTCAGTGAAGTTCTCAATAACCCAGGTACTTGTTTCCAGGGGCCGCCTTCCTCTGTCGTCACCCGGGAGTGCTTTTTCATTAGACCTGCTCCTCTTTTACCCACATTTCTTTCTCTCTTGAAGAGATACTTGGCAGCCCACTTCAGCCTGAAGTCCTGAGGAAGAGGAGCAAGGTGGCAATGAGGAAGGCCTGCCATACACGCTAGTTCTGGTTCTTAGTCTAACCTTGTCCATCCGTTGACAATGTACTGTGTTACTAGTTTTGCGTTGTTTGTTCTTTTTTGGTTTAGCTTTATTTTGTTTTTTAATATGATGGGCAATAAATAGCAAAAAGTTTTACTCCCAGGAGTAAATTTAAATTATCAAATTTAAACTATTTTATTTGCCAAGTAAATATTTTTAATATCACAGATAATGGTTAAGTGTCAAAACGAAGGGGTTTTTCATGTAAAAGGTGACAAATTATTGTGACTTTTGTTTCTACTCCTGAAGCCTACTCTTATTTACCCAGAAAGGCTCCTTCATGCCAGGTTTTTTAAAAACAGGCTGTTTTTTCTTTAAGTGAAAGAGCACCTTTAATGTTATAACGGTACCTCCTGTGAATCAGAATGTTAGAGAGGCTTTTAGGTGTCCTTACAATATGTGAAAAAAAATGAGACTTATTCCAGAAGTAAATACCAGACTAGATTGACACTATGTGCTTCCATTTTGGTTAACTTAGAAATTAATACATTGCTAATAAATACTGATTTTTTTACAGTGTCCAATTTGAAATACATAAGTTATCAAAAACTTAAATGTAGTGAATTTGTGTAACCATGTACTGTTGAGAATGTATTTTTATTTAAATTTTATTTTCTTATCAAGAGTATTATATAAATTAAAAACTTTTGTAACTGTCGCTTGGAATAACTAAAATAAATTACAAGAACCCTGTCTATTCTTTGTGAAGTCCCACACTCTTAGGTATGATCCCAGCACTGCACACATCCTCAGGCCAGCTGGCAACTGCAGGAGAGTGAGACTTGCTGGAACTTGAGAGGAGTGAGTGTGTGTGCCAGCAAGTGTAGGTCCCACTGAGAGGCAGGGGTAGAACCACAGATGTAGCCAGGCCAGCTGACCAGCCTCCAAACCCACAAGCTAGAGCTGGGGGTCGGGCAGGGTGGGGCAGGAGCCCAGGAGCTAGACTGGGAAACAGGAAGCCAAAGAAGCCCCACTGACCCCAACCACAGGAGTGTTTATCTGATGGCCTTAGGGGGAAGTGTAGAAGTTGGCCATGGGAGTGGCTATCAGATGTCTTTGGCCAGAGTTTAGGGAAAAAGGTAGTCCAAGGTGGCAGCATGATGATGGCCTGAGGCCCTGATGTAAACCCAGGACACCTTGATTTCTGCACAACACTTCCAAGAGCCCGTTGCTTTCCAGGTCTACTGCAAGCATCTACCAGTTGTTGCCTGGCACACTGGACCAGGTCTGGAGTGACCCTTGCCCTTTTAAGCTTAGAAACTTCTTCCTCCTTCATTTCCCAGCATCTGCAGGCCTAGGTCTCCAGCTCAGTGGACTCTACTAAAAAGAGCTCTGCTTCCAGCACTTCTGAGAGCCTTTCACTCAGCCGGTGGATACCCTCAGGAAGCGTGGACAAGAGTGAATGAAGAGGGTCCACCGCCTACACCTGAAATTAAAGGACAGTCTCCCAGTGGAGTCCAAGGGTCGAGACAGCAACAAGAGCGCAGGATAAGCCTTGCAGCAGGCTCGCCCCCCGAATGACCACCTCTGGGAACCTCCCAGGAAACTGGAAAATAAATGCTGGACAAACCCCCAACCCCGAGGGACAATCCCTGTCCACCTAAGGCCTGGGAGCCAGCCAACGGGCTCAGCTCATCCTTCCCTACAGAAGCTTAAATCACTGGATTAGAGGGAGGTCTCTTGGGCCTGTGCAATCCAGTCCTCCAGCTGCGAGGTCACATTTCAGGACACTTTGGAAAGAGCAAACTAGACAAGTGGTTCACGAAGTGCCATCCTGTGATCACCACCACCACCCAGGAGCTTGAGAGAAATGCAAGGTCTCGGGCCCCACCAAGTCAGCTCGGGGGGAAGCAGAGCAGAGTGGGCCTAGCACTCCAGATGATGAACTAGCCCTCCTGGAGATACCGATGGTCACACAGGTTGGAGAGCCCTACTGAGTTCACTGTGAGCCATTTCTGGAAAAGCAAGCAGGTGCTAAGACTACTGGGGGCTGGAGGGGTGGGGCATACCTGATAATGACTGGAAGCCAGTCTCATTTATCTGGGGACCAGAGCGATTCCTGGAAGCACTGAAGGCTCTTTGGACTGACTGGATGTTAATATTGGGAGGTAAGACGGGGAGCCCAAAGCTGGATCAAAGTGGCATGGAGCCATCAGAAAAAAATTAAGTTCCCCAAATACTATTGGGAGTACTTAGGAGGCACTATAGTGCCTTTTGCACAAATATTGTGTCACAGTAACGGTGTTAGTTTCTTCAGGCAAATAAGGCAACATCTTGGAGAGAGGGGATGAGCATCATAATAGTGAAAATATTTTGTATGTGATTATAGATCCCTGGAGCTAAAGCACTGCCCCTGATGGGGAGCGAGTATATAATAGGTAAATAATACAGACCTTCCCTTCTAATTAAACAGACCCCAATGCTTAAACTCCTTTTTATGAGTGACATGGATCCAGGCAGCTGCTCAGTATGAAAGGTCAGGGCCGCTAGAGGTGAGGCCAGGGCTAGGCTGGTAGAGAGTGCCTCTGACCCAGGTTACTTGTGTTTACACAAGTTACAGGTGGTGAGGAGGAGCAGGGGATAAAGAATTGTACCTCTTCCATATCAGCAATAATATTAATAATTGGCTGTGTCAGCATTTGTCATCCGCCAGGCTGAGCATATAAATACACATATAAGTGTGTGTCTTAGCACAGTTTCACATAATCCAAGTAGGAAACTGAGTCTCAGGAGAATTAGATAATTTCATAAAGAATGCTAGGCAGATCCAAGATTGAAAACATCTGTAGTGCTGCACTCTTAAGATGTTAATATTTTTATGAACTTCTTAAACTTCCTACAATGAACATATACTGTTAAAAACCAAAAATATTGTTAAGTCTTAGATTATTATAACTACTTTGTAAAACACAAACAAGGATCTTCTCCCTTAAGGAGAATTCCTGTGCTTGAGGAAAATGAAGCTTCTGCTCTTGGAAGGAGTTACAGCCCCGCTCGCAAGCCCACCGAGATGGTCTGTCTGCCCTGAGTCACTGTGCATCAGAATGGAGCCCAGGGCAGGGGTTGGTCTTTGGATTTTGGCATTAAATGAAACATGCTGGATCCTGCACTCAGTCTACAAATAACAAATGAAGAGTGGTTAACAGGTTCAGAATAGAGGTATATGGCCCAGACCACACAATGCTGGTGTGGGGAGAGTCAGGATTTAAACTTGGAGACTCAGGTTCTCTGTGTGACACTAAATCTCACACCCTTCCACAACTGCTGTCATTCCCGAGAAGGCCCCTTCCAGGCTCAGCCCCTGGGCACATCCTAAACACAGCCGAGGTCCCCTACCATCTGAGAGCCTCCACCTTCCCTCTGCAGGTGGCAGGGGAACATTATTTTTTTCATGTAATTATTTTTTTCAATTGTGGCAAAAATATGCACAAAACATTCTCCAACAATTTCTACGTGTCTAATTTAGTCTCGTTGATTATACTTTGTGTTGTACAACCATATTGATATCCCTTCCCAAGTTATTCCACCATTATCATACACTCAATTCCCCCCCTAAGCAACAACTCTTCCTCCTTCACCCATGGTCAAGTTTGGTTTCTTTCTCTTTTTTTCAATATTTTTTTTGATAGAGTAGTCACATACCATACATTTTCATATAGTTGAATCACTTTTAAAGAGTTGTATCGACATCATTACAGTCAGTTCTGATACAGCCCCCTGCACCCCAAATTCAGGAGCGCTTTCCATGATACAGCGTAGGCTTCTCTTTCATCTTAAAAGGCTGTACAATCAGCTCTGATACAGCCCCCCACCCCAAATTCAGGAGCGCTTTCCATGGTGCAGCATAGGCTTCTTTCATTCATTTTAAAAGGCTGTACTATTGCATGCTGTGGATGTGAGTATTTGCTCAGCCATTCCTCTACAGTTGTCTGCAAAGAGCTTTTTATAGGAAACAAGGATATTTGTTGAGGCGAAAGAAGACCCAGTAAGTTCTACCTCTAGAAACAGGGAAAGCACTGGAAGGGCCAAAAATGCTGGTGTGACCCAACGCAGGTTATTCCCACTCTGTATTAAGACAGGAAAATGCCCGGCAAAACCAACTTGTCCTCCAGGCAGAAGGGTATAGGGAAAGGCTCAAAAGAACTTGTGTGGAGTACGCCTCAAACCTTATCATTAAAACAGCACATGATCCGTTCACTTGCTTTGAAGCAGAATATCCCTGTTATGGATTGAATAGCACACCCCAAAAGAGACAACATATCAACTCTAACCTGTAGGTCTATGGTTATGATCCCATTTGCAAATGGACTGGTTTTCGTTTTTAAGGAGGCAGGATTAGTGCAGGGTCTGTCTTGAGTCAATTCCTTGGAGTATAAGAAAGTAAGCAAGTGAGTGAGCACTCAGATGGGAAAAGGTAGGTAATGGAGCCACAGAGTACTCTCCAAAGAACCAGGAAATAGGCTGAACAGACAAGGACCTTCCCCCAGAGCCAAAGGAGTTCCCTGAGATTCTGAGCCCTGGCTTAAGACCTACAGCTTCCCATATGGTGTGAAAGGAAGATTCTGGCCATTAAAGCCACCTATTTGTGGTATTTCTGTTATAGCAGTACTAGATACATTTGAATGGTGGTGCTGGCAAAGCATAGTGAAAGTACCATGGACTGCCAAAAGAACAGACAGATCTGTCTGGGAAGAAGTACATCCAGAATGCTCCTTAGAGACAAAGATGACAAGACCTTGTCTCACGCACTTTGGATGTGCTATCAGGAGAGACCAGTCACTGGGAAAGGACGTTACAGGAACAGACAGCCCAGTCTTTCTCCAGCGGAGCTGCTGCTGGTTTTGAACAGCCAACCATTTGGATTGCAGCCCGAGTAGTGTCCTACTCTTCGCTACCAGGGCTCCTGTAAAACATAAAAGGAAATTGAAATTTGCCCATAAATAGTTTTCTTGGCGTATATCCATATTAATTCACTTACCTACCCTCTATCTGCTGCTTCGTGCTGTCATGACAGTGTTGAATAGTTTCAACAGACACCAAAGGACCCACCAGCAGAAAGTAATTACTACCTGGGCCCTAACAGGAAAACTTGGCTGACTCCTGCTGCAGAACCTGGAGCTTCGCCAGCGATGCCAATCGCTCCTCTTGTGCCGATGCGTGAAAGCCATGCACTGGTACACTGAAGAAGCCTCCTAACACAGTGGGTGAGCCCTCAACAGCCAAGCGAAAGATCAGCGATTTGAACTCACCAATCTCTGCAGGAGAAAGAATGGCACTCTCATCCATAAAAATGTAGTCATGGACATTCCTGAGGCAGTTCTGCTTTGTCCAGTAGTGTCACTCAGAAGGAGTTGACTCAACCACAGTGTGTGGTGCAACTTTAGCACGTAATGGTGCCATTCTTGCCATCCAGGTGGGAGATAGGGGCTCCATTTAGGGGCAGCCACCACCCATTTGTCAGGGGCGGCTCGTATGTTGTTAGGTGCTGAACCAGTTTCGATGGAGCTTCCAGACCAATATAGACTAGGAAGAATGGCTTGACGATCTACTTCCAAAAACTAGCCAGTTAAAAGCAAAGGATCATGACGTCCGATACTGCTGTTCATGGGATGGCAGCTAATAATGACCACAAGAGGCCCGGGGTGCTATGGGATAGGGGTTGGTCCGCTAACCACAAGG